GCCTTTGCTGCTGCCTCGTCTTGCTGGCGCTGCTGTTCGATTGCCAACAGACGTGCCTTCTTGGTGTCCTCTGCCTTCTTTTTGGCTGCGGCTGCTACTGCATCCGACTGTTGCTTGGCTTCGGTAATCAGAAGCAGCATCCGGGCCTGATAGGCCTCATCCGTTTCCTCGGACTTCTGGTCCATGACGGTTGTTTGCAAGCGCGTGAGCATAGACCAGGCCGGGGGCTTGCTGACGTGGTACTCCCTGCTGCTGACGTGGCACTGCTGTCGGCTGACGTGGCCTGCTGACGTGGTTTGCTGATGTGGCTTGCTGAGGTGGTCTGCTGATGTGGCCTGCTGACGTGGCAACTCACCAATGCCGCCGAAGGGGGTACCCGGAGACAGATAGAGAAGGTAAGACCAGAAGGGACAACAACATAGGTGGGGAGGGGTGGGTGGGATAATCGCCCAGAAAAAAGAAAAGTTTGAACTTGCAAAAAAAAAATCAAGGAAAAGAAAAAAAAAATACTCGTTTGCAAGTTCAGTAGGCCTCCCAATTCCCCCTGAAGTGCGAAATTACCCTGAGGAAAAATTTCGAACTTTCATACTGCTAATGATTGTCCGATAAGAATTAAGAAAATAAAATACAGCAAATATTCGGAATTACTCAGATGAGAGTACGCGCAGTTGGAAAATGATAACTGCAAGAGGGATTTCCCGTACCGTTTACAAAAAAAAGAAAGGAATTTCGGAAAAAAACATTCCGGATTTCTGAATAACGGGAAATTGCAAAAAGGAAATCGAAATTTTTGAAAAAAAGATATTCCGGATTTTCAACAGCGAAATTTTGAATTTTCAGAAGAAAAACAAAAACGGAAATTTCAGGTGTTCCGCTAATTGCGATTTTTCCACAACAGAAATAGCGGGAAAACAAAATCCAAGAAAAGAAAAAAATTTTGATTTTCGGCAGCGAGGTCAAAATCGTGATTTTGGCCCGGGGGCTAACTAGTGTGCTCTAGTCAATCAATCAATCAATCGATCAATCAATAAAAACTAACCAACTAATTAGTCCCCGCACACGTGTCAGATCAGGTTGTCCTGATTCACGTCCGGTGTTCTGATACCAACTGTTACATGCCCAGTTGGGCGTTTTTTTTTTTTTTTTTTTTTTTTTTTTTAGTGCCGTTTGCTTTGCAAATTGCGCTCTTTTAGTTCATAGTTATGTGACAATATATAACCGAGGATCCGCAATGTGATAAAAAGGACTAAATGGACAATGCAGTGCTAGTGAAATCTCAACAAGCAGTGTACACACATGTGGTTTACGGGGACCGCCCAGTTTCAGCTCCTGGGTAACAGGTCCAAAACTGAAATTAGGCTTTGGGGGTGAAATTTTATATTTTTTTGGTTTTTTTTTTTTTGCCTGTTTTTGTCCTACTTCAAGGTTGTTGTGTACCAAATTTCGTCTCATTTGAAGCATTGGAATTTCCTTTGATAAGACCATTTCCAAAAACGCTGAAAATTCTGAATATTCGCTGAATCCAAAATGTCATTTTAGTGCCCTTTTGCCTTACTGTTTCACCCTGTTTTTATTTTATTTTTTCGTTTTTTTTTTAATGGTTTGTTAATATGGTGTGCACTCTATCGTTAAAAAGGGCTTCTGGTTTTCTTATAAAATGCACTAAAAAAACGCTGTTGGAATTTCCTCTGATAAGACCATTTCCAAAAACGCTGAAAATTCTGAAAATTCGCTGAATCCAAAATGTCATTTTAGCGCCCTTTTGCCTTACTGTTTCACCCTGTTTTTATTTTATTTTTTCGTTTTTTTTTTAATGGTTTGTTAATATGGTGTGCACTCTATGGAATGATGCAATTTTTGGTTAAAAAGGGCTTCTGGTTTTCTTATAAAATGCATTAAAAAAACGCTGAAATTTTGATACGAGAGACATACCTGGTGCTTGAAGCGTACGGCATTGGCCGAGATCTGCTTGTACTTCCGGGAGCTGTTGGCGTCATCAGCGGCATTGTAGATAGGCTAGATAGGATCTGCCATTTGTAGTCTGAGCGCCGAGCGCCAGATAGGATACCGACATTGGTTCTTCATTGATGATGATGAGACTATTCTAGCATTGTCAATTATGAGCTTTTGCTGTGCTCTTATTTGGTGGAACTTGTGATGCAATTATGTCATTGGTTCGAGGTCACGACTATCTAGTCTCATGTGTATGGTGCTGTTTGATTTCTGAAGTTCGCTATCGCTCATTTTCCTTGCAATTTGGTACCGGAGCTGTGGTACGGTGCGCTCATCTGGCGCTTGTCTTCTGCCTTCGCGGTACATGCACGTGGTCTGCTGGGTGAGAGGCCATGGGAGGTGTGTAGTGAGGAGGGTGGAGACAAGTGTGACGACCCAGGAGGTGAGGGGTATCGCCAGGAAGGCTACTATGTGGTGATTATTGAATGTTCGCAGCGTGATGAGAACTATCCGATGTGTGATTGATGCTGAGGTGGAACGGCGATACAATGCTGGTTGTGTCGAAGCAGCGATTGGTCATCACGATCAACATTGGGTCATCTGGTGAGAATATTTGTGGTTGGGGGCAGCTATTTTGAGGTACGTTCCCCCTAACCTTATCTACCCTCTTCGACACTTCTTACCGTGAGGATGTGCGTTCTGTCTTGAGAGTCCTCTCATGTGAGGAGTCATGTGCGCTCAACCTTGAGAGTTGTCAGTGTTCACGTGGAGCATCTGGAAGGAGAGGGTGGTGCTATCTGAAGGACCCTCTATAAATAAGTACCAGCGTGGACCTTGATCAACCATGTGAGGAGAGTACTGTGAGCGTCGTCCTGTTTGCAACGTTAAATAATTCCCGAGGACTTCGGGGGCCGTCCATAAAAACGCCTCCTGATCAGCCAATCGGTCAGTGTAAGGCTCGCTGCACGTGAGGATAAAGACTGTGCAGGGCTGGCCAGCTCAGCAGGACTCGAGGCATAGGGGTGGGCCGTGTGCACACCTTTAGACACGCACACTGTCCGGATTGCTCAGGGACGCTGCCGACAAGAGACATTCATGAAGAACTGAGGGAGGTATAGATTCCAGGTAATAAGTTGCAAGATTCCATTCTGCAAACAAACCCAACGAATGATTCTATTTTTATTTTGATTAGTTAGATGTACAACCATTAACATCCAACAGACAGCATAGTTAGAACTATTTTTTGTTCATTGTGCTTCCTGTTTGCGAGCTAGTCAAAGTCAAAGTAGTTTCATTTGTAGGAATCTGAACTTACCTGTTGGACCCAAATGTATCTACTCTGACACAGCCACCGATTGATTCAATCGGTTTGTGCACTACGCTGTGGTAGGCATCAAAGAGTGACCTAGTGCTGATTGTGTACAACTCTGTAGCTTATGAGCGATAGGGATACAACTAGTGAGGACGACCGGATCTTGCGATCGGCTAGACGCCCAATTGCCCACGTGGCATTAGGACCCGAGGGTGATAGGTTACTGTTCTGCCAGCAAAGGAAGAGTGTTGCATGCACAGATATGCAATGTACGTAATAAACCGAGAATCTGCAATGTGATAAAAAGGACTGAATAGACAATGCGGTACGAGTAGAATCTCGACAAGCAATGTACATTCTCATTCATACATAAAGATGCTGAAGAGCGCAGGGAAGACTTTGATACAAGACTGACCTGACAGGACTGACCTCATTCACGTAGTTCAGAGTAACGAAGCAGAATGCTAGAGTACCTCTTACTAGCCCAATCAATGTTTGAACTCAGGCAAAACATGCCTTGTATCCATCACGAAGTGTGAAGGAGCCTGGCGCTACACACAGGAAGAAAGCGCCAGGTCCAGACATACATAGACGAAGAGATAAGACGAAAGGAGGGAAGAAGATGGGAATGTCGTTAACACCAAGTCTTGGTCACCAATCCCAAATAGTCCCTCGTTGCCATGTTTGAACCCTCGAA